ACGAAAGTAGTAAAGCACAATTTCACAGTCAAAAGATCTGAGCAATGTAGCAATGTGCTACTTCTAGTTAAAAGTCTTGATCGACCTTAAAATTGGAACAGGCACCGCACAGCCATTGGGCTAGCAGGGGCTATAGCCCTCCCACATTTTGCAATAACAGGTTAGAAAATTGTTTGGAGTTTATTGTTTGTTTACTCTAACGCAACTTTGGAAAGTTTACTCTAACGGATACTAAGAAGTAGTATTTCCTCTTGACTGGAAACCCCTTTTTGTTCACTTGTAGGTGTCTTACCTTTTTAAATCTATTCCTATAGTAATTTACATCTTCTTTGAATCGGATTGCTTATAAAAGGTAAGTGGAAGGAAGCAAGTATTCATTAAAAAGGGCGTTTTCCGGTGCTCTAAAGGGCGTGGTCACCAAAATTTCGGTCACACCCTTTTCAGCCCACTCATTTTTAGACTGGTGCGTTGTGCCTGAATTGGAAATAAGACATGATTTAAAACATGTTGGCTAACCTCCTTACCACGTCGTTTTCGCTAACCTCGTTTCAGATCAATATCTAAAGGAAATTCACAGTTCTTTCGAATGATTATTTGTTGTTTCTTTGAAATTTAACAGAACAATTCGAAAACATCACTCTTCTTGAAACAGTACCTCTAGCCATAAAAACAATTGGGCTACCTCTAAACCCATGCGGAGATAACATCTGAAGAATTAGAGAAGTTTTATCGAGATTTCGCTTCATTGGTTGCTTCAAAGTCTAAATATTAGCTATTTAGCAGCCAAAACAAAAGATGGCAATTTGGTGGTCAAAGTTTTACTGTGAAAAGAAACGTTTAGTCTTTTTCTAAATACAAACCCAAAAATCTGCTCTTTTTCAAAGATATCTGGGCTCTTGATCTAATCAAAGATGTAGCAATAACAACGCTTTAGCCTAGCAACAAACAAACGTGAATCAATGACAATAGAAATAGCTTAATTAACTTAAATTGTTATACAATTAAGTGGATAGATTCACTAATTGGTAATTCTGACCACTTTCCAAAAGCTTATGAAATTCACTTTTCTTCTCAACAGGATAATTTGCATTTCCACAGAAAGTTCCCTTAATGACAAGGCTGACTGGATTCTCTTCACGTATTAATTTTCCTTAAACCTACAACCTCTTTGATTTCCAAACTCCAATGCTATACTTCTTGATATCTATGCCAAGATGGCCCCTAACCGAATTACTACAACGAGAAAACTATTCGTTCTTCTTAGCAATAAAAAATAAAATATTTCCACAGGTGCTTTTATTGTTTTAAATGATATCTAGATGCAATCAAAACACCTTTTTTAATAGCAGATGTTTTTGATAGCAATTCTTAAAATGTAGTTGTATGTTTATTAAATATGACATTTGAGCAATACCTGCTAAAACGTGATGTTTGCCAAAACTCTTGGAACGCCAACAGAATGCTAGATTATTAACAACGAAAATACGCTATTCAAACCTAACTGGTATTTTAAAAACCAGAATGACTGAGATGAATTTTCCACACTTATTCAGAGAGCAACTAAGGGGGGCCCACCTATTTCAATTGGTGTCATTTGCAAAAGTCGAGAACTGACAAGTGGCTAAAGTATTTTCGGTAAGCATTCTAAGCGTGTGCTATAAGATAAACTCCACGATGCGTTGCCCCTCAAGGCTGTGTGCAAAGCTTTCTACTTCTCAAGACTTGAAATTTTCTGTTATAATGATTAACGATGAAATATAATCGCGATATAATGATTTATTTGTTCCTAAAACGCTTCTCTAGAAGTTGTATGGCCTCATCATAATTCTTATTTGTAATTTGGTATCCTGCAATCGTATGCGCGCCATCTCCATCTAACGACTTCTGTGGGTATTTCAGTTTGTCAACATTACAGAGCTCTGGATGTTCATGAATAGCCGATTGAAAACTGTCCCAAAATGTTATTCATTACGTAGGATTTCCATCGAATATTGTTAACGATAATCAGGGTCGTCGCGAGGCAAGCCTTGTTAGGGGGGGGGCTGGGTGTGGACTACAAATTTGCCTCATTGAAAAATTTTTACCTTAAATTCTTTATTTGCTGCCACAAACCTCTGCAATACATTTTGTCAATCTAACTCTGTATATGATAAGCAACTTTCATTTTTATACGATAATAACAGAGTTTCCTAATAGTTTTGTAAAATCTCTATATCAGGACGGGCAAAGGATATACTTACTACCCGAGGCGGCACCATGGTTGCCGCCAAAGGAGGATGAATTTTTCGAAGTTTGATGCTTCTAGTTCCCTGGAAAATGCACTCTTTTAAGCACATTTCACTAAATCAATCCTCCTAATCCTATTAGAATTTTTTTTGCAAACAAATTGAACAGCAGTTAAAAACAACCGTTGTCTTCAAAAATACCATGTTGTCAGTTACTTTCAAAGCTAGGTAACAAGAAACACTGGTTGTCAATTCAGATCTCTCTTTCCATCGTAGCGTACCTTTTGAATGTTAAAATAAATCTGGAGCTCATAGTGAATTGCAGTTGACGCTTCTACCGAGAAACTTTAGGGAAAATGGACACAAGACACAATTTTACTTAAAGAGGGCCTGGATTTTTAGATTTAGTACCAACAATAAATCTTTAAATCTTCAAATCATTAGTTTGTTTACCTTCATTCATATCAAGCAATATCATATTTAACCAACGGAGCAACTATATTTGCTTGATCCTTTATTGATTTTATGACATGAAGGTCTCTGAAATACCCAAAGCGTTTCTTCCACCGAGCGGATTTTACCTGAAATTTCCTATTGAGATACTAGTGTGACAACCTCCCCCGCACCCCCGGTCGCGCCGCCCCTTTCGGTAACTTCACTTCGACACTCTGACGTAGCGTGCGCTCTTAATACCGAAACATTTTCGTTCGTGTGTGTTTTTATGTTCCGTTTCATCATGAATTGCTTTGATTCGGCATTATATATTTTCGGTTTCTCCTTCAAGTTCACTTCTTTCCAAATTTCTCGTTCGATATCCTGATCATTATATAATCATTTGATTTCATCGTCTAAAACCTCAATTGTTTCTTTTTTCTTTTCGATAGTGGTACGTAGTGACTCGAGTTTGACTCTAACCGCGCGCGGTGCGGTTTCTTCGTCGGGCTGTGACAGTAATTCGTTTGCTTTTGCGATAGTATTTTTTAACACTAATCGATGGGCATTTCTCTTCTTGATTTTCTTCTTCAAAGCTTCTTGCCCCGCCATTTGTTAATCCAAATCCTGGGTCACGGCACCATAATGTGGGGGGATCAAGTGATGATCCTGCGCTGTGCTAACGTTTCGTCCCTCGAATAGAGGTGAAACTCCAGAAAGGTTCCTGGTTCTTGTTATGTTAAATATATCAAAAGATAAAGGCGAACAAGTACGTCGACTGTTCCATTTTATTTACACGCGTGAAGAATCCTCGATGCGGCGAAATTTACATTGAACTAAAATATTTCATGGCCGAATTTATTACGAGCGTTAAATGTCCATCCTCGAGTCGTGTCTACTTCTTCGATTTCGATTTTTCGAATTGGACATGGGCTCTGACACAGATTGAAAAATGGGGGACATGGCCACCCTGTTAGACGTACTTACCGTAAACTTTCGGGGAAGGCCCCTGGGAGCATATTAGATTGCAGCTAATTCGAGGGGAATTCGTGCCAAACAAGGAGAAGGGGATAAATATAATCTACAAGCTGCAATACAAAAAAAATCTCTTTCCGTAGCTTTTTCACTATATTCATGTTATTTGTAAATCATTTTAAGATGCAAATCACGCCATTCTGAAGATATCAAGAACGTGAGTATGAGCCTGTGATGAAAACGGGTGTTACAGTAAATAAGTATGTGTCTAAAACATCGAAACATGCACGAGCAAAACAACAAAAGCAAATAGAAAACAGATATCATTCAATTTAATTCCTGAATAAAATGTGCAAAAAGAAACTAACTAGTGGGAAAATATGGGACAAAAAGTGGGGAAATTTTAGGCCCGGATAGGGATTTGCCTTACCAGTTTGTATTTCAGAATATCCCTCGCAACAAAGTGGGTCTTTCTTATATTTTTTTGATTAATTACAATTGTATACTAAGACTTCAATAAAAAGATTTTGTTATATTCTCGGCGCAACAGACAGGCTAATCGTCTTTCTTTTTTAGCCAAAATAAATTTAACACATTTTCTTGAAAGATATTTGTTTATGATGTTTCAAATTTAAAGTGCCCTTCAGGAATGGCTTAAAGCTGTCTTGTAGAATACTTAAATTGATTGCAACTAAAATTACTACAAACATTCAAAAAATTTATTTTTACCTGATCGAAATTTTCTTTTCTTAAAATTAAGTGCTATAATTCTTTGCTTTTAGTGATGATTCAGATTAAAATGTTTTGCTTCATATAAAATCTAAATAACATTAAAACCATAGGCAGGCTAGGTATTGTTTGAGATAATGTTTGCAGTTACATCATACCATATTACATTACATAATGTGAAATAACATTCTATGATATTAATACAATACATGCTATCTGATATAAAATTGTATTATATAACATCTATACTATTTCCATGGCCTGTTATTGATAAGAAAATCGTCGATTACAGTTCAAAATTTGTTAGCTTTCTGAATGCCTGAAAAAGTTTAAAATTTCTTTTGCAAGAAAACAATTAAAAATTTCTATGAAATTAGAAAAAGAGATTGTCTATCAGCAAATATTCTATTTCAGTAATTCAAAACATATGCATTTATTTTATTCCTTATAGTATTTGAACGAGTTTTCCTGCGAGTATGAGCGTGATATCTATTGCTTGTAATACCTTTCAAACTTAAGGCCTATCCACCTCCAAAATTCACAGCTTTGTTTAAAATTTTGCCGTTTCAAAAATCCCTCCAGCCAAAACAACGGTGCGCACATGTAGTATTTTGGAAATATTTCAAACAAAACAAAAGAGCTGGATCCTCGATTATTTCATCCGCTATGAGAGCTAACTCTTCAAGAACTCCCTTTTATACTAGATTATTTTTTCTTTATTAAAATGCTATAATATTTTGTTTTCTGTCTGCGTTAAATTTCAAGACATTTTGCTTTCAAGATGCCCTTTTGGCATGGTAACCGAAGTTGATCAGTGATTCGTGCGGTGTTACATGACGAACCTACAAAGATTTCTTTGGAAAAACAAGTATTAGAACCAGTTTGTAATTTCACTGTAACTCTAGTTTACAAAGCATTCATTGCTTGTAATCAATGGAGCAAATGGGCAGGACCTGTTTAGAGGTGTTTCAAGAAAAATACAACGGTCCCTGATACAACAGCCACCAGCAAAAAAGTTCAACCAATTCTGAGCAGTGTCTCTGCGATCGTCGCAACAAAATAGTTGCTTATATTTAAAGCTTTGTTTGTATTTTATTTGTGTTGGTAACGGTTTGATCTTCATTTAAATTTTGTTCAATGGTGTTAAACTGGAAACAATGGCCATGGAAAACGTTTTAAATGCAACTGAGGGTAGTGGGACATCTTGCAAACCAAGTAGCCAGAAAGTGCACGAAAAGAGCGCGCATTGCAGCGACGATGCAGTTGCATCCAGCCGATGCACGATCGATCCTGTTCTTCTCAGATTGAGAATATTTTTCTTCTTGTTTTATGCTGGCTTTGGTACGACATTCCCATATCTTGGAATCTATTTCAAACAGATTGGGCTCAGCGCTGGATCCGTAGGAGTCTTAGCGGGAGTGAGGCCATTAATCCAGTGCGTCGGTGGACCATTATGGGCAATGTTAGCAGACAGATACAACGCAAGGAAAGCTGTTTTATTGTTTTCCATAATGGCTTGGCTTGTAATGACAGTTCTCCTCGCATTTCCACGTCCGCGTTATGAGGTTTGTAAAATAGTAAACACCACAGAGACAAGAATATTTAACAAAACTTTAGTTCAAAAGAAAGACACTGTGCCGTCAATAGGATTCCACGATCACATGTCGGAGTTCTTGCCATTTCCACATTGTTTTCCTTCCTGTGCTGACAACCCTTTACATCGATCTGAAAGATCGTCAGATGAAATTCCAGGAAGATCATCTCTTAAAGACAACAAAGAAATAGTTGTACATAATTTTTTCGTGCAAAATTTTTTTAATAATACCAAACCCTATAATGATTATTTACCAGGGACTAAAAGAGCTTCTAATAAAACTCAAAAAAGTTCTTCTAAATTAGAGCATAAAGAAAAACCACACGCGAACGCTGTGAAATATGTCATAGAATGGAACCAAAAGGAGATGCATGACATTTTCGTTATTCTGTTGATACTGATCGTTGTAGGGGAGTTTCTAGAGGCTCCTTCGTTTATCATGGTAGACACTGCTTTGCTGGAATACCTTGGAAAGGAGCGGTCACGTTATGGACGAACCCGTCTGTTTGGCAGCATAGGATACGGTGTGGCATCTTTAGGCATTGGTGCCGTGCTAGATCGCGTGCATTATCAGTACTGCGGAAAGACAATGATTGATTACACAGTACTGTTTTACGTCTTCGCTGGGTTCATGGTCGTTGGGTTCTTTTTTGCTATGTTTGGGGTAAAGTTCAGCTACACAAAAAAGGCAGATTGTGACAACCAGTCCAAAGCAGTGGCTATGTCTGTCTTAAAGTTGTTCTGTACATTGCGCCATGGATCGTTCCTGTTAATCGCCTGGTTCATGGGTTTCAGTCATGGCGGGGTTATGAACTTTTTGAACTGGTACCTTGAGGATCTTGGTGCAAGTAGGTTTATGATGGGCATTGGTACCACGTGTAGGTCAACGGCTATCATTATTGGCTTAATGATTTCAAACTTTGCTATCGACAGACTAGGTCATTACAATATGATTCTATTTGCCTTGGTTGCATATACCCTAAGCTTCTTTGGGTATTCTGTCATTACGAACCCTTGGTACGCGCTGCCTATTGAGGTGGCACAAGGCATATGCTACTCCATGTCTTGGTCAGCCTGCATCACCTATCTAGGTGCCGCTGCTCCACCGAAGACGGAAGCTACTGTGCAAGGTAAGATAGCTAGCACCACCAGTAAAGTCCTTCTCGCTGACCAAAGGTACAGACAGAAGTCTAGACTCTTTTCCCTTTGCGCACAGCACAGTGGTAGTATAGCTGTTCTAACCATATTTTTATTTTGTTTCAGGTGTATTACAAGGCGTCTACTGGGGACTTGGGACAGGACTTGGTGCATTTGCTGGGGGAGCGATGATAAACAAATTTGGAGCAGTCAAAATGTTCAGAATTGCGGGCGTAGTGACAGCCATTGTTGTTTTAATTTTCTTGATAATCAACTTAGCGGTCAATAAAGTGAATAACATTGATGGTTCTCTTGATCATGGTCGGGATGCAACCGGCAATGCATTTTGGAGTAGAGACATCTATTCGGATGATGAGCTGCTTCTTAATGAGAATCAAGATGATGAGGACCACCGTAGAATTTGATAAATGACGATAACGGCAACTAGACAGGGGCGTTGTGACCTTCTGAAGGTGACTTCGGCAGAGATGGGGTCAAATCTTGCAGGAAATTCATTGCACATGAGCAATATTTGCAACCTGTTTGGATTAAGGCAAGTGATTAAAGAACCAACCAGAGAGACGTTAGACACGTCTTCATTGAAAGATCGTCTTCATCATCAAGTTGCAATTAACACTCCTGCAAATATTGTCAATTCAGGCGTCCTAAGAATTTCACTTAGCGATCATTATCTGTTTTGTGTTCGAAAATTTCGGGGCTTCATACAGTGACAACCCAAACCTATCAGAAGTGGAAGAATGAAAATCTTTGACCATGAAAGTTTTTTACTTGATCTAAGCCAGATTGCTTGGGATGGCAATGTACATTGTTGCGAAAACGTTCAACAATGGTCTACAACACTGTCTCTTGTTATTGAGATGCATCTCCCATTGCAGGATTCGAGAGTATAAAACAAATACTCCCCATGCCATAATAGCGATTTTAGAAAGCTTTCTCATCAGAGGGACAGAATAAAACTGCTGCCGTTAAACATAAATCCGCTTGATGGATGCTTACAAGCAACTGCGAAATAAGGCTAACATTCTCAACAAAAATCTCAAACGTGAAGGCTTTTCCAAGATATTAGCTGCCTGTAAAGGTGACTTAAAGCAGTCATCGAAAACAATAAACCTCCTTTTGAAAATCGATTCCCTAAAAGAGAACGAATAGGAGGCAAATAACGATCGTGATATTGCCAACTCGATGAACGATTATTTCTGCAGTGTGGGGAAGAATCTAAGCGACAAGATACCCGACCAGCCTAATCCCTAGAATGGAAGAGAACCTTTCAAATTCGTTGCCATCGACAAGAGGACCATCGAAAAGGCCTTAAATAAGATCGAGTCATCACATGGGTGTGGTGAAGATAACATTGCCAGCTTTTTATTAAAAGTAGCCTTTCCTGTTGTTTCTGATTCACTCTGTGAAATTTTGAAATTTTGAACCTTTCCTTATCTTCGGGTGTTTTCCCTGGCAGCTGGAAAGTTGCTAGGGTAGCTCAAATATTTGAGGAGGGCCTATCTGATGAAAGATCAAATTACAGGCCAATATCTGTTCTACCATCTGTTTCTAGATTATTTGAAAAACTTGTGTACGACCAATTATATCGATATCTGGACGAAAACAAACTCACATGCTTACAACAGTCCGGTTTTCGCTCTTTTCACTATGTTGTCAGATGTCTTCTGAAGTGCACGAATGACTGGTACGTCAACATTAACAAAGGGAAATTTACAGCTATGGTTTTCATTGACCTCAAGAAGGCCTTTGATACTATTGATTATGGTATTCTTCTTGACAAGATTAGATTTTATTGTATCAGCGGCATAGAACATGGTTGGTTTCGATCTTATTTTAATAACAGGAAGCGTTTTGCAAAGTAAATGGCGTCTCTTTTGACATTAAAGATGTTGTTATCGGAGTACCACAAGGGTCTTGCTTGGGGCCACTTCTTTTTCTGCTCTATATAAATGATCTTCACTTTGCATTAAAGAAGGCTGTGACAAACATACAGCTATATACATACAGGTACATATGAGACAGGTTTGTCTGACCACCATAAGCTAACTTATTCTGTACTAAAAACTGAATTCTTAAATCTGAACCCACTTCTATTTCATACAGATGCTATAAAACTTTTTCTACCGATCAATTTAACGAGGATCTTCAATTTAATTTAGTTAAAATACCTAAAGAAAATGTATCGTACGATGTTTTCAATCGATAAACATGCCTCTCCAAAGAAAAAATTAGTAAGAGCAAACAATGCGCCTTTCATGAATAGAGATAAAGAAAATTGATAATGCTGAGATCTAAGGCAAAAAGAGAGCTCAACAAAAATAAAAAAGTTTCTAATAGGGAGAGGTACAAACAAGTCAAAAATAGATGTGTTAAATTAATTAGACGCACTAGAAGAAGATATTTCGAAAATTTAGATGTTAAATTCGTCAACGATAATAAAAAATTCTGGAAAGCTATCCAGCCTTTATTAAATGATAAAAATGCAAAAGCAAATAAAATCATACTGATAGAAAACGACGAAATCCTGTCTGACAGCAAAATAGTTGCACAGACGTTGAACAATCACTTCGTAAATATTACTGAACGCCTCATTATAGCCCGACCTTTAACTGATAATGTGCAACAGACGTCTGAGGAAAGGACAGCCTCGTCACTATTAGATCAATTGAAATGCTTTGAAAACCACCATAGTATTTAAAAAATCAAGGAAACGTTTGATCAATTTCCTAAATTTAACTTTGAAAATGTAACTTCCAAGGAGGTAAGAGAGATAATTTACAACCTAAAGGAAGACAAATCAACAGGAGCCGATAACATCCCCCCAAAGGTTCTTAGAATGGCAATAGACGTTGTCTCTGGACCACTAGCTGAAATATTCAATCGATCTATTTCTGATAAAACGTTTCCCTTTCTTATGAAAATGGCTAATGTGTGCCCTATTTTCAAAAAAGGAGATTCAACTAGTAAAGAGAATTATAGACCAATAAGTGTGCTCCTCTCAGCTTCAAAGGTATTTGAGAGAATAATGTTCAATAAAATCTACAATTACTCATTTTTAAACTGTTCCCTTTGCTTTGTGGATTCAGAAAAGGTTATAGCACACAACATGCTTTAATACGACTTATTGAAGGTCTGAAAAAGTGCCTGGATAAAAAAGTTGTGGCTGGTGCAGTGCTTATGGATTTATCAAAAGCATTTGATTGTTTACCTTATATACCTCTACTAGCCAAATTGAAATCTTATGGCTTCAGCGACAACGCAATGGAATTTATGTATAGTTATCTAGATAAAAGAATACAACGAGTAAAAATAAACTCAGATTTTAGTGATTGGATGGAAACAAAGCAAGGAGTTCCTCAAGGATCAATCTTAGGCCCGTTGTTTATCAATAGTTACATAAACGATATTTTTCTGCATTTGAACAAAAGCAACTTATGCAACTATGCAGACGATAATATAATTTGGCTGTCAAGTACTGATACGAATGAACTAACTGACGACTTAGAATCAGAAGCAGCTATTCTTAATAAATGGTTTTATGAAATTTGTTGGTGCTCAATGGCGATAAAAGCAAGCTTATAACATTTAAAGCCAATCGATCCAATTTAGAGGAATCTAAAATTCAAATAAATGGTTTTACTATAATAGAAAGTAAGAATGTTAAACTTTTGGGAGTAACACTAGACCATCAACTTAGATTAGAAAAACATATTAAAGTTTTTTGTAAAGAAACTGGGAAAAAGGTAAACGCTCTAGCCAGGATTGCTTCGTATATGGACGAATCTAAGCGAATTATTCTAATGAAAACGTCCATATTATCATATTTTAACTATTGTCCTTTTATTTGGATGTTTTGCAGTAGGAAATGTAATTGCCGGATAAACCAGATTCATGAAAGAGCAATGAGAAAAGCCCATGATGATTATGAATCAACTTTTGAACAACTTTTAATGAAGAATAAAACAATAACCTCTCATAAGAAAAATTTACAATATCTTGCGATAGAAATTTACAAAACATTCAACGGATTGAATCCACCTTTTATGGATGAAATATTTTCCATAAATGAATGCCCATATTACTTAAGAAACTCCCAATTCAAAACAGCGGAGCCACATTACAAAATATATGGATTTAATACCGTGTCATACAGATGTAGCCAAATATGGAACTCAATTCCAAATGAGATAAAGTACTCCCCTACTTCAAGAAAAATTCAAGAAAAAATATCAATATTCAAGAAAAAAATCTCAGAATTTAAATCGTTTAATTGTACTTGTAATCTTTGCAAGGAATATGTTAGCAACATTGGTTATATTTGATTTATATTATATTTAGCGTTGGTAATTTAAATTAGTTGGTTTTAATTAGCTTGAGTATACATAGCTATAAATTGTACCAACTTTAATTTTTACCAGCTCATTTGCAATTTTAAATTCACATTTGCAATACAAGTCTTAAGATATCAAAAACATAAAAACGGTTCATATGCACCATTCATTACAACTGGCGTCGCTGCAAAGAGGTATGTAGTGATACGTTGAGGCATGCACAAGCGAAACAGCAGAAAACGAATAGAACACATATATCATTCATTTTTATTTCATATAGAAGACACTTACTAGCGGGGAATCGTAGGACAAATAGTGATAAAGTATTAGGTCCTAGTGAGGATTTACCTTACCAGTTTGTATGCTGGAATATCCCCCTGCAACAAAGTGGGTCTTTCTTATACTTGTGATCAGTCACAAGTACGTATAAGGGTTTGAATTAAAATATATTTTTATGATTTCAGCAAAACAGACAGGTTAATCGTCTTTCTTGTTTACCTGAGATTTATCCAAAATATTATCTCAAATGATACTTGTCTATGATGTTCAAAGTTTGAAGTGTCCTTTAGGAATGATACAAAGCTGACTTGTAGAATACATAAAATGATTGCAACTAAACTTTCTACAAATATTATAAAAAATTCACATTTCCTTATTGTTCATAATACCTGCGTTAAAGCGTATTTACTTTGCCTTATCAAGATTTTCTTTCCTTGAAATTAAATATTATCATTCGTTGATTTTTGTGATGATTCAGATCGCTACATAAAAAGGTTGAATAACATAAACTCATAGACCGGCTTGGAAAAGCTGTGGCAAATACACTGCAATGAATGGAAAATAGTGCATTTTGATGTTTAATTTGATGTGATTGCATAATTCTATGATATAATGTTAGCAGTTATATCATATCATAATACATTACATAATGTGACATAACATTTTGTAATGTTGATTATGCAATATGTATATTATCTAATAAAACCTCGTATAACCACCTTTATATTATTTCTGTCAGAATATGAAAATCTTCGATTACAGTGCAGAAATTATTAGCCTCCTGAATGTGCCTAAAAAAGATAGAATTTTTCTTTTGTAAGAGAAAAATCTGAAATACATAAAAATTGAAAAGAGAGAATATTTAACAGCAAATTTTTTTCTAGGTTGTTCAAAACATTTTATCATTCAAAGTTTTTGTGTGTGTTTCCTGTTGAACATGAGCGTGATATTTATTACCTTGTAATATCTTTCTTGTTTAAGGCCTTTTTAAATCCACCTCCAAGCTTTATTTAACATTTGCTGTTTCATAAATCTCTCCAGCCAAATGTTAACGCTGCGTACATTTAGCATTTCGGAAATCCTCGATTATTTTATTTACTCTGAGAGCTTAGTCTTGAAGAACTCCCTTCTATACTAGATTCTTATTTTCTTCATTAAAATGCTATGATATCCCATTTTTACACGTAACATTACAAGATATTTAGCTTCCAAGATCGCATTGGTAACCGAAGACGATCAATAATTCGTGCGGTATTATATGACGAACCCACTAGGATCTCGTTGGCAAAACAAGTATTAGAACCGGTTTATAATTTCAGGGGAACTCTTGAAAATTCTTGCTTTTAAAGCGTCCAGTAATTGTTATTAATGGAGCAAATGGGCAGGTCCTGTTTGGAATTGTTTTGAGAATTATACAGTGATCCCTGATGTAACAGCCACCCGCAAAAAAGGTCAACCAATTCTGAGCAGTGCCTCGGCGCTCGTCGCAACTGAAATTTTGTTTATATTTGAAGCAAATCTGAGTTATAGGTTATCGTGGTATCTAGTATGTTTTTTATTTGTGTTGATAATGGTCTGACCGGCATTTAACTTGAGCCCAGCAATGTTAAACTAGAAACAATGGCCAAGGAGAACGTTTTAAATGCAACCGGGGATAATGGGAAGTTTGGCGAACCAATTAGTAAGGAAGTGCACGAAAAGAGCAAGAATGTCAGCGAAGAAGCAGTTGAATCTAGCCGATGCACGATCGATCCAGTTCTCCTCAGACTGAAAATATTTTTCTTCTTATTCTTCGCTGGTTTTGGTACGACATTCCCATATCTTGGAATCTATTTTAAACAGATTGGGCTCAGTGCTGGATCCGTAGGAGTCTTAGCAGGAGTGAGGCCATTAATCCAGTGCGTCGGTGGACCATTATGGGCAATGTTAGCAGACAGATACAATGCAAGGAAAGCTGTTTTATTGTTTTCCATAATGGCTTGGCTTGTAATGACAGTTCTCCTCGCATTTCCACGTCCGCGTTATGAGGTTTGTAAAATAGTAAACACCACAGAGACAAAAATATTTAACAAAACTTTAGTTCAAAAGAAAGACACTGTGCCGTCAATAGGATTCCACGATCACATGTCGGAGTTCTTGCCATTTCCACATTGTTTTCCTTCCTGTGCTGACAAGCCTTTACATCGATTTGGAAGATCGTCAGATGAAATTCCAGGAAGATCATCTCTTAAAGACAACAAAGAAATAGTTGTACATAATTTTTTCGTGCAAAATTTTTTTAATAATACCAAACCCTATAATGATGATTTAACACAGACAAAAAGAACTTCTAACAAAACTAAAAAAAATTCTTCTAAATTAGAGCATAAAGAAAAACCACACGCGAACGCTGTGAAATATGTCATAGAAAGAAACCAAAAGGAGATACATGACATTTTCGTTATTCTGTTGATACTGATCGTTGTAGGGGAGTTTCTAGAGGCTCCTTCGTTTATCATGGTAGACACTGCTTTGCTGGAATACCTTGGAGAGGAGCGGTCACGTTATGGACGAACCCGTCTGTTTGGCAGCTTAGGATACGGTGTGGCATCGTTTGGTATTGGTGCCGTGCTAGATCGCATGCATTATCAGTACTGCGGAAAGACGATGATTAATTACACAGTACTGTTTTACATCTTTGCTGGGTTCATGGTTGTTGGGTTCTTTTTTGCTATGTTTGGGGTAAAGTTCAGCTACACAAAAAAGGTAGATTCTGGCAATGAATCCCAAGCCACGATTATGTCTGTCTTAAAGTTGTTCTGTACATTGCGTCAAGGATCGTTCCTGTTAATTGCCTGGTTCATGGGCTTCAGTCATGGCGGGATAATGAACTTTTTGAACTGGTACCTCGAGGATCTTGGTGCAAGTAGGTTTATGATGGGCATTGGTACCTCTTGTAGGGCGACAGCTGTCATTATTGGCTTTATGATTTCAAACTACGTTATCGACAGGCTTGGTCATTACAATATGATTCTATTTTCCTTGGTTGCATATACCCTAAGCTTCTTTGGGTATTCTGTCATTACAAACCCCTGGTATGCGCTGCCTATTGAAGTGGCACAAGGCACATGCTACTCCATGTCTTGGTCAGCCTGCATCACCTATCTAGGTGCCGCTGCTCCACCGAATTCGGCAGCTACCGTGCAAGGTAAGCTAGCTAGCTTCGGTATGCTTGGTATGCTTGAACCTACATTCACGATCTGAAAGCTTTGTCTGTTACCCTGGGTGACAGTGTTTGCGCAGTTCTTTGCCTTTAGGAAATACAGACAAAGCTACCACTGATAGTTAAATTTGGGAGGAAGTCCTTCTCGCTGACCATTCGTTCTAACCATATTTTTGTTCGTTTTCAGGTGTATTACAAGGCGTCTACTGGGGACTTGGAACAGGACTTGGTGCATTTGCTGGAGGAGCTATGATAAACAAATTTGGAGCAGTCAAATCGTTCAGGATTGGGGGCGTGGTGACAGCCATTGTTGTCTTCATCTTTTTGTTGATCAATTATGCGGTCAATAGAGACGATCAAAAGACTGTGAAAAAGGATGTAGAAAAGAAACTAAAAAGCATCGGCAAAAATGAAAAACAGTGCGATTAGTTTCATAGAAAGGAGCAGCTGAGCAGTTTGCCGAGCAGCTGAGCTGTTTGTTGATATTGGAATTTCTAATAGCGTTTAGCTCTGCTTACACATGGGTGTTGCCTAAAAGAGTGAATTTGAGAAATCAATCACTACAGTCTGAAACCAAGGAATTAAATATGCTCCAGATAATAGTTGCATATACGTAGCTTCTAGCTTGAAGTTCCCAGTTGCGGGATAATTGCTCCGAAAAGGAGATTTATGTTAGGATAATTGCTCCAAAAAGGAGATTTATGTTAGGGTAACTGCTCCGGAAAGGAGGCTTCTCACTAGTTTCATGACATGAAGCGACACGAGGGCAGAGAGTTTCTGCGATAGGCTAATTCCTGCACGCAGGCCCATAAACACCGGGTTCTTCGTATTACAAAAATCTCAAAAATCATTTGAACTAGTAGAAAGATTTGAGCTTAGTCAGGAAATGGAATTGGCTTATTGTCAGTTGGAAATTTGTCTCCTTCACCCTTCAAAAAATATCCATCAGTTTAAACACTTAGAATAATTCAGTAACCTGAACCCTTGACAGCGAAGATTGAGATTTGGCTCCCCTTCCCTAGTGCAATTTTTATTCCTCTGCTAAAAGATACCCTCCTACAGCTTTGAATTTGAAAGGGTGGAGAGAATAAGGTTGAATCAGGCATACATGCTACCTGGCATGTTTTAGGTATTGGTTTACAAACATGTGTTGAGGCCAGGGTTGTAGCTTTTTAAAATTGGGTGCCAGCCTTCATTCTTCTGGTGAACAGTGAGTGACAGCCTGCATGTGAGTGACGAAGGCATGCATTCTCAAACCCTAATTGGCTGGTTACTCAAAAGGCCTCTTTTTAAGCCTATTGACACCTTTATCGCGGTTTGTCAACAAAACTACTGGCTAAGAAGATCCTAACAGTAAACAATGTGTTGTTAATTGTTGAGTGAAAGGTTCGCTAAACATTGTCTGCAATAGCTTGCAAATAGATGATAATAAGATAATGCTTCTATGTTTACATTTAGAATGAGGTATTGAGAAATAGAATTAACTTTGGCTTCAAAGGAGCTTCTTTTGGAAGTAAAATCCAACACAGTACAAATGAAAATTTTGTATTATTATTAATTTTGTGTCAATTTTGGATTAGAATTTTCATTTTTAGGCAAATTTTTTAGCTTATAAAAGTTTTTTAAATGTTTCATGTTTATTTTTATTGATCTGTCTTGTTGATAGTAGTTTAAAACTGAGCTTAGAATATTTTAAATTAAATTGAATATTATGCTTGATATTATGAAGACAAAACTAGTATTAAGAACTGTTTCTAAATTAATTCACATTTATTTAATGACACCAACAAAATTAAACATAAGGATGGTTCCTGAAAGAAATGAATTGTTTATCAGGCAGATAATAGATTTTGGGAATTTGGTAAAAGTAGTTCTTACATCCCTCTTAATTCTGATGTCAGTTCCCATAATAACATAGCCTAAGCCTTGCACCAGAGTAAACTGCAACTTCTCACAAGCCTAGTATTTAGTTTTAGTAAGCCAATCATTTTCTAAACATCCAGTATTGGTATGAATAAAATCTAACAAAATGACTTTTTGTAGAGTAAAACTGAAAGAGAAATTTTTGCAAATCTAGCATAGCTCTTAGCAAACTATCCCGCATTTCTATCATAAATCTTGATATTGACCTCTGCAGATGTCCTTCTGTGACTAACTGAATTACTTTGCATGTTAAGTTGTATCAAATTGTGTAAAAAGATTATTCTAAAATTGTACCATTCATTGATTGAGTTTAGTTTTATAAAAAGTAATTATTGGAATTGGAGCTCCATTACTTCACAGGTCTGTGGTGTAAAGTTTATGCGAAACAATGAAAATAAAATAAAAAATTTTTCGCCTTAACTTTGGTGTATCATGCAAAAAGACTTGTGAAAAGACTAAAATGTCTTTTAAAAAATTTAATACTTTTTCTTTTTATCACAAGTATTATTGATACTTAAGAGACAGACATTGTTCTAAAGGAGGATAAAACAGGGAAACTCTAGACTTGAACTTACTGATCAATTAACATTTTAGAAATCTTAATATAACAAACAATAAGCACCACAGTAAGAGCGTTGACAGACTGCAACACCAAACATTTACACATTTTAAGCTTGTTTGAGTCACATTTAAAAGCAAGCAAACCAAAATCGCTATTTCTTGCAACATTTCATTTCTTCAATGTAAGGTTAACAGGCTGCTTAGTTTCGATGTTCAACATTTCCAACAAACATTTGTCATACGGTGCTTGAGTTTTTCTACAATACCCAAACTCTTGATTGTTATGATCCAAGCAGGTCCAGTACTTAGTAAACTCTTCGTGGCAGTTTTCCTTTAACTTCTTGAAGAACGTCAATGCACACTTCGATACAAGCTTCCCCTCTTCGAGGCACTGTCTCGGGTCTTTGGTGACATAACGGCATCCCATAAAATCTTTGAAGTCCTCGTCACAAAATTTACCAAGGGCATGAGAAGCGGCTGTTAAAACAGCAGATGTAGCTTCGACTTCTTTAATTTCCAAATCTTTTGAGTCTATACCAAGTACATCTGCCATTGTAGAGGCTTACTGTCGGGTTACAGCAATGGAGTTAGAAAGTTGATTAAACAATTCTTGATCAGGTTAGGCCAACTCCGAAAAGCCTCTTTCCCAAAGTGAGGCGGACGTTCAGCGTCTCAAAGGTCACACAACATTTGTTGTGATTTCGAGATGTCATCTATCCAGAGGAGGAGACAGAGATCGCCATTTCTGTCGATTGTACAGAAAATACCCCCGAGTAAGAACCTAGAGATTTAAAAACCTTCTTGCAGAAATTTGCTTTTTAATACTCCAAAATATAAAAATCTATTTAGCCAGAAAAATTTCCAACAGGTTCTTATATGTGTCCAGCTAAAGCAAGCGACTCCGTGGGGGTTTTCAGAAACATGCGATTTTTCATGTCATCGCCCCAGCCATTACCGTCGTTTTGTTTATCTATACCGCAGCGAGGTTAGCTTTTCATGTGAGCAGTTTTGCATCGCAAGAATACTAACCAATCGCAAACCGTTATTTTGATGGGTGGCTTGACAAGTTGGGTATACACAGTCCTTTTATATGGACACATTACCTTTAACCATTTAATTTATATACTTCTTGCACCAAAAGCCAAAAAGATGCCAGAACATTGAATTAACTAAAAACTCTAAAATAACAAGTTAGAATAAAACTTGAAATGTACAATGTTAAATTTAAACTGCTATTATCAAACAATTATTACTATTATTTTATATATAATATTATATCATTGATCAATTGTTGGTGGGCTTTTGGCAACATTGGTACACTAATAGTTATTTAGAACGAAGAAAAGACCAGATTTAATGCTATTTTCTGATAATCAAAAACAATATATACTTTGTAGAAATTAAAAACCTAACTAAAAACCTATTCAGCCTAAAATGTCAATAAGTACCCAATAATAAAAGAACCTGTTTTGCCAAACTCTAAAAAAGTAGGTTCTTACTCGCGGATTTTTACCGTATGGCATACGCCGGGTCGATAAAATTTTGGTGATTGGCAAAGGTTTCCTGCATTTATCTACATTATTCTACTAGAATTTTTTCTCATTCTCTCCGATTCAAGACTTTCAAATATAAGTCTTTAGAGAAAGTCTTTATTTGGATGTCACTAGAAAGTGTAAATTCAGAGGACAAATTACGATAAAAGTGTTTTTCCAACAAGTGATAAAGAATCGAATAGTTTTTCCAGAAAGCAAAATTAAAGAAAGCTTCTTAGGGGAACAAAGCCGTATTGATTTTTTATGGAAGCAATTTAATATTGACAGTATAAATCAAAATGGGATAAAGGCCTTTTATCAGCATGATAATCACAATTTTCATACATCTAAAGCTTGTTGACTCATAGCTGTGTTCTTTCTTATCATTTTTCTACTACTTAAGTTAGAAAAGTGAAAACCGTATTTCGCTGCAATAATTTATCCCCAATATTGCCCTAGAGGAGGCGAAATGTACTTTTTCTATGATATAGATAAAATGTTACAAGAATGTTGAATGATTCGGGCTGTGTCCTTCTTATAATTGATAAATATCGTAGAGCATGGAAATATTTATTGTATATCTTTTTACAAATTTAGACATAGCGAGACGATTTCTGGCTTATTTGCCAAAACGATAGATCTGAATACAGATGTCGAAATCTGCTTGATACAAATTTGGAACGACTTGTGTCCATTGTTCCTTCCATTGTATAATTTCGCTTTACTGAGAGTTTGTAAGAGTGTAGGGACTTGGTTATCGTTCCAATGGAAATGTCCTGAAATGCATTCTGTCACACTTCCATCACTTGTTTTCCTTCTCAAATGTTTACACCTTTGCTGCACTTCAGATGTAATAAAGCGCTGAGCTTAACCGCCTTACCTCCAATTTCGAATCTTAAGGTTAAAATATTCCATAGTGAAGCTGCAATACTTGAGCTTTTTTCACAAATGACTGTCAAAAATTTCTTTTTAAATGCACTTTTCCTAAAAAAATTAGAAATGGATGAAGTTTTCTAGATCTTCCACAGCCTTGATAATGCCAATTTTATTCTGAAAGCTCACTGCTCTGCTAGATTTTAATAAGCTATTTACTTGACTTTTTTATTTACAAATAAAGACAGCCGTTTAATTGCCGATCGATAAAAAAGTTAAGCCCAACCTTGGCTAATTTCACTGAATAGTCCAATCTCCAGACATAGGACCAAAAATCTGGAACAAATTATTTATGAACTTAAAACAACTGACAATCTTCAATGCTTCAAACGGACGAATAAAGAATGGGGGCTGATCCAACCTGTAGATGTTATGGCTGTAAATACTACAAATAGATTTTAATCTTTTTTGAAATTTAGTTAAGTTATGTTTTCATCGATGTATATAAGTTTTCATGTCCAAAATAAAGGTAGAAAGCTAGATTTTTCTATCTATTTAAAATAAATAAATTACAAAACAAGAAGAATCAAGTGTGGCAATTATTTATTTTCTATTTTAGTTTTGCTATCCATAGGTCCGAACGATAAAACCATTGCATTCGCAACCTACCCCGGCTGATCAGTGCCCGGATGGATCTGCTTGAGGTGAATGACATATATACCTTTGGACAACGAGTTCAATCAAAGAGAAAAGTTTCAGATGACGGTCAGCGAGAGAGTCCAAAAATCAAGAACAAATCTTGCACCTCAAGGAGTTAAAGAGAAAATAATTGCATCCATATTAGTATAATCGTTTCACTAACATGTCAAAATGAAAGAAAATGTTTCTTCGCGGTATGACGTTATAATCGTTGGTGGAGGTTGTTCTGGCCTAAGTGCTGCGTACCAAATAAAAAAGCAGAAGGAAGATGCCCGTGTCCTTATTTTGGAAGCCAAAGGTAGTTAATCATCTGCACAATTTTTTATTGTTATGAAGTAACTTTCGTGAAACTTTGGAGGTTGATTACATTTTGTTTAGATTAATGTTACATTCATGAATGCCCGATTATCGTCGGTTTCAATGAATAAAATTATTTTTAATGTTGACATGACTTACAAGTTTGATTTTGTATGATGTAGGCTGCGAGAGAGGGGGATAGGGGCTCATATCCAAGGCTTTTAGGCAGATATGTTAGACGTCTCTGCCGTGCAGGGCGCAAAGGGGCAATTAACCTGGATGTCAATTTTCTGTTCAGCAAGCAGCTATGCAGGGCCTCCGACGAAGGGGGAGCCGGGGGCCCTGGCCCCTCCACTTTTTTGCAAAACAATAGAGCTTTTTGAAAATCATTTTGTTTTGATTCTTAAAATCACCCTTGGCCCCCCACCTTCCAACTTGCGCCGGAGCCCCTGCTATGCAGTAGTTGCAATTGAAATAAACTCTTGGAAAATTGAATTTGTTTTCTTTGTTGAACTGAAGCTATTATGCAGACATAAAAGTTAATTAGGCACAGTTTTTTGGTGCTAATGCATTAAAATAGCCCACCATTTGGTTGCTGATCTTTACTCAAGCCCTAATGTATTGTTTTGTATGAGTGATCACATGCCGTGATGCATGTTAGAGCATAAGTACCAAGTTTGTTCACAGCACACATTTGCCTCCATTAATAATTTACAAACTAGAGAGAATAGAATAACATTTTCAAAGCTTCAAAAATCTCTTGCACATTTGTGTGCAGTACTTATGGTCAAGTGCACAGTTATTCAACCAAGTTTGTTTGCACACTTGAGCAGTAGTTTAAATTTGGCCAATTCAGCATGCTAGGCAAAAGTCATATGAACTTTGGACCACTGGTATAAACGTAAAAACCTTAGTAAGTATAACACAAAGTTAAAACAAGAATACAATTTGATAATTCTTCAGTACTACTAAGTGTATATGCTTTTCAAAAATATCTGGTCATTAAAATATCAAAATGTACGTACTTCTATGATTTTTATATTTATATACTTTCAATGCACATACAGTTTAATGAAGTATCACCATTGCCATCAGGTCGATAGCCTTTCTAAAGTCCTTCATTCAAGCCTGGCTGTAAGACTTTTAACAGGGGAGCAGTAATCAGCTCTCCTAGTAGTATTCAGGTGAGCTATAATTATAAAAAACAAAGGAAAAATTGATTTCAAGGAGAGCAAATTTGCTTTTTAGAACAATTTAGGAGAGCAATCTCTAGCTCCCCTCTAGCGTTTGAGGAGAGCCTGGAGGGGAGCAAGAGCTATGGCTCTCCTCAAATGGCCAGCCCTGCTTCATTACTTTCAAAATTGTGCTACTGATTTAAACAATTTTCTGTAGATCATTTTGTCATCCCTTTTTAAGACTTTTGCATCCTGTTTTCATAGAAATTAGTATCTGCTTCATGATCATTTTGCCCAGGCTTTTCTATTCCACTGCAAATTTCTGCTTGTTTCAACACCATATGCTTTCACTGCAAGTATGGCTCTAGCACCATTATGTTTTCTTCAAACTCTAAACCATTGATTTTGCCTCATGAAATCACCATATTGCACAAATCTTTGCCATCTTGATTGATTTTGATTGATTGATTTTTAATTATTTATACAGGGTAATACATACAGTAATGAAAAGATAACAACCGATTTACAATGTGCCCTGTCTAAAAACCTAAGCTATTTAACATACAATTAAATAACAAAGTTAAATCAAAATTAATATACAAGTTATTCTGGTGAGGTAAAAATAAAAAATATAAAAAATATAAAAAGCAAACTTTTGAAAGTAGCCAGTGAAGGGGCATTTTTATTTCAGTGCTTAGTTTATTCCACTCATTCACACCTTGATATGAGAATCTACATTGCCCGTAAGAGGTTGCAAAGCGAGGAATTCTTAGATCTGTGTCTGTATTACGGAGAGACAGTGAACTGTTTTGTGACAATTTTGTAAACATTAGCTGCATATATTCAGGTGCTAATCCCTGGAGAGACTTGTAAACTGCAATTGCAGTTTAAAATTCAATCATTTCTTTTATAGTTAACCACCCTAGGCTTCCAATCAATGTTATTATTGTTATTACTGCTGTTATTACTGCTATTATTCTTTGGTATATAAATCTTTTAATTTGTGTCATTTTCTGATATTATCAGGTGACTCGGGTAAACATATCAATAACCGCTTTCTGTTTTGACCCCAGACCACCCAACTGCAGGGCCTCTGATGAAGGGAGGGCCAGAGGGCACCCACTTTTTGAAAAAATAATGCTTTTTCAAAATGTTATGTTATGGGTGTTAAATTTTTCCTTGGCCCCCCCCAACTTTCCAACTTGTTTCAGAGCCCATGAACTAACCATGCCCAATTAAGAAAAGCATCTGTCCATTAAGAAATAGTGATATCTTTTTTTTCACGTAATGCAAGACATGTACAGGCCTGGCTGTTTGAGGCAGGCTATTGCCCGCCTCGATGTAGCATCATATTACTACAAGCATTAATGTTAAGTCGGAACTTTGTGTTTTCCGTGTTTTTCAAGCTCCTGTCTAATCGTATTCAAATATTTCAAAAATTTATCAGATAATTTTTTCTATTCTAAAATAATTCCTTCACTTGTTAACTACTTTTAAACACATGCAAAGTTTTTCCACCATGCACAGGTTTGATCTGCCCTGACCCCTAGAAAAACCGGTGACATTTGGTCGTTTGATGACTCTAGATAAATTTTAGGTCTATGTCTTCTTAAGAAAGATTACATCGGGGACACCAAATGAGATCATAATTTTCAAATGTCACTGCAATGCCCCCCCCTCCATATGTAAGTCTGTTAGCAGTGTTTTGGAAAAGTTAAAGTTAAATGTTTATCTTGTCTTGGGCTGTAAAACGTGACAAAAAACTTATTTTAAAATGGAAAAATTTTATGGAGTTTAGAGCAAAGTGGAAGTTTTAGGGATTAGTGAATAAAAATCAAATTGCAGTGAGGATGAATTTATTATAATATTCATATTATAATTCAATGGTTTTTTGCATTTGATAAATTCTGAGATACAAGACTCCAACACAAAAATTTATGAAATGATATTCATATATGATTGAAGCTAATATAAAGATATCACAAACCTTTTGAGAAACCATTATTAGGTTACGTACTGACCATATGTGCTTTGTCAAATAAAGGAAACCAATTTTTCTTTAATAGCATGTCAAGTAGCTTTCAGAAAGTCTATTCTAGAACAAATCTTGCAAAATTTTGTAGAAAAAGCAAGCAAAGCTCACACTTGCCACCAATCTCCATAGATGCTAATTTCTTTGATTTGTAGTCCATAACTGTATAACTTTCTTTTATTGCACTATATCCATTCTCCCACCCCCACAAAGGACAATGCTTTCCCCTTGTCCCTTGAGTTCATTTCCTTTCTTCTCACATAGCTTTTCATCTTCTTGGTCAACATCTGTTGGGACAAAGAGCAGTTGGCTCTGATAAAGGCTAGCTTTGGAACCGTCTCCAATATTTGCAAAAGAACAAAATTCCCCAAACTGATTAATGTGACCACCTGAGTTAGGCAATGCTCCTTGATACAGTTGGAAGCCAGACCAGCAGTATAAAATTGATTTTAATAACAAATGCCTCTGTGCTGTTTGTCACAAAACCTTTCCAACTTGACACAGGGACCACACACTTGACACAGAGACAACATATTGCCACATAAACGAATTTCTTTGGCTAATGAAAAAGCAGTTAAACTTTTTAAAATTATTTGATGAAATAGGCATCTTTCTTTCCATTTAATTACTTTCGGCTTTCTAGCGGTTTGAGATTCTACAAGTATACAAGATTCCATCCTTTCCACAAGACAAGCCATTTGTTCCCATTTCTGAATTTTGTAGCTGGTTTGTTCATCATTGATGTCATTGATGCCTAAATTTGGATTTTGTTTCATTTCATTTCTTTTAAACAGAAAATAAAGATTTTAATTCGTGTTACAGACCTGTCAACCTAAAATTTTCAAAACCTCAAGATTTTGAATATTTTTTGAAAAAAATCAGGGAGATTTGATCAAAGCAGGGAGATCAACAGATTTTGTTGGGTTCTAAAAACAACATACCTGTGAAACATCCCTCTAGACAAACAGTTAAATGACAAGAATAATCTAGAGAAACTCCTTCATAATGATTTTCAAACTAAGCATTAGCAAAAAATTTTTTAAAGAAGAATCACTGCAAAAATTTTTGTTCTAAGAGTATCTCTGCACAAAGAAAGGGAAAAACTGAAAGAAAATTTAGGAAAAATGGGAGACCAGGAGAAAACAAATAAAACCAGGAATCCCCCGGCAGGCCGGGAGAGTTGACAGGTCTATTGTTTAAAACAATAACCATCTTCAACATTCCCTTTTCTTTTTCATGGGGAAAATGATGAAAAAAATAAAATAATCACTGATGGTCTGAGCAACCTATTATTTTGAACAGTATAAATTTACATACCTTGCAGGTTTTAAAGGCTCTGGGAAAATTTCTGAAACCGCATTTTCTTATGTTTGATCAATTTCATTCTTAAAATGGCGTTCATTACTTTATGAAATCTTCAGACCTCAAGGCCATGAGGCAGTGACCTCCCTACTTCCTCTCGGCAGATTGCTAGTTATTATTTTGCAATATTTATTTAACCTTTAATTCGCATGGGAAGTTTCTTTGACATGTGTGCCTCTTTCCATAGATCGGCTAGGTGGCCGTGTCTGTGGTTCATATCTGCACACGCTGCATGATAAAGATGCATGGGATGTTGGTGGTCAATGGATTGCAAGGTAAATTCTATTTTTCCATTGAAGCCTCTGGCTTTCTTATCTTGTACTCTTTACTTGAAATTCTATATTTTAAAACTTTTCTTTGCATATATGCTCTTCACTCTTTAAAGTTCCAGATTTCAAAGTGCGAGGCAGTTCTATTAGATTATTTTGAATAGAAATAATTTGTAGTGAGGGTTGGGGATATGTGTTGCTTGGAGAGAAATGGTATGAGAATGATATGATGGATGTGTAATATTAGCCCAAATGGCAGACCTAGATCTGATGTGCTTGGGGTAAATTAAATCTAGAGAATATTAGGGCTTGTGTGCAGAAATGAGAACTTCGCTAGTTTGGTTACATTGAGGAAATAGATAAGAGTGATTAGTTAACATGTAAAGTTGGTAGAGATGGGCCAAAGAAGAGACACTGTCCGAAGTGATAAGAAGGGATCTGAGAGAAAGAATGATCACTGATGACTTGAGCAAAGATGGTGCATGCAGTCATGTATAACGGATGTTAAGCCGAATATGATGATGATGATAAATTTTTGTTGACATAAGATTTTTTGAGCTGCTTTCCCTATAAGCATTAAGGTTTTCGAATATTTTTACCAAATTTGAAATAATAAAGAAATTGTATTTTAATAGACAAGAGAAATAAATGACATCTTTTATGTTTTTGAGACATGTATCCCCTGAACATTGTATCCTTGCTGTTTTCCAAATAAAATAACTCCTTGTTTACTTACAGTTCACAGCCAAATGTTACTAAGCTTATCAAAGAGCTTGGCCTAGAACCATATCCACAGGATGTCAGTGGAAGAAAGATCCTGAAGCTTGGTGAAAGCGATGCAATATATTATAACAACACACAAACTTATGGCTTGTCACTATTTGGAGCATTGGATGTCTTCAATGGCTTGTCAAAAGTATGATATAATATATTTCATATATGAACATATTTTCTTCCTAACAAGCTTCTTGTGGCCAGGAAGATTTCCCAATTGGTTCCTTGGGATTTCAGGCTGAGTAAGGCATCGAATTCTATTGTTCCTTTCAACAGAGGGCCCCAAAAATCTAGTTTCCTACCTTTAATCTCCTTAGTATCTCATACTTCACAGAATCCAGCTCACTGAATTTTGTACACCGTGATTGCCATTTTATTTCTGTTATTCTGAAACCACTGTCCCTGTTATTTTGGTCCCTAAGATAACATTAACGGTTTATGATATCCAAACCCATACATTGTACCACTCCTTAGTGATGCTTTACGCACCGTATCAGACGAGAACATTTCCAATCAGGCAATTGATTTTCTGTCGAGTTTCTGTCCTAGCAACTTGCTCAGCTATCCGTTTTACTTCACATGGCTTCTCTGCTTCCATATTTCCACTTTCTCCGATATAAACGCCCTCATTCACAACAGTCCTTGTAGTGTTCTAGTTCTTATACAGGTTTACCATTTAAAATATTTCCTCTTTTGTTATAACCACGCCCCTTCTTTGTCAACTTATGTTTTTGAAATACTTCACCGTAAGATTATGTTGGGGTTCATCCGTGATAACCCTTAAATCCAGTATACACTTGAATAACCATTCCATGACTATCATGGCACAAGAACAGTTCATTTCTGCTTGTTTTAAACCATCTATTTCCAGTCACGAACTATACTTCTCCACAATGTTCTAACACTCAACGCTTCCTTCATTATTAGGGAACTGTGCTCAATACCGCTCAATACAGCTCAACCATTTTAACTACTCCATCTGCTAAAAATGTTTCGATCGGTCCTTTAACAGGCAATTCTTGCCTCAAATAATGACGAAACTCATCTTCAACGATGTTTTACGAAAATATCATTAAGTTATTATTTTACTTCTTCTAGATCGAGTCTTACTGTGCAGCTGTCCCCATTGATGACCCTTTGAAATGCCAATTTGCAGAGGAGTGGGACGCGAAAACTGTCAGCGAGGCCATGGATTCCATATTCTGGACCAACGGTTAGTTTACAAATATAAAGACACTTCCAGCCTCAATATTCTTAACAAAAGTTTGTTTTTGGCTGTATATGTTCTCAAAGTATTTTGCTTTTTTGAGTCTTCCGCCCTCGAATAACAACCACGCTTTTTGAAAAGACAAGATATTTAAGTCAGGTGATTCTTTGTGATTGACATGACAAAACAAGCAACTTCTAGAAATGAGATACAAATATGCGAGCCTGGGCGATTTCTTATAGTATTCTTAAAAATTCATTAATTTGAGTCTAAATATTTATGTGAACAATATCTTTTGACAAAAGTGTAGTCAATCTTTTTATAACTTTCTTAGTTCGAAGAAGGAAAATTTCTTTTTTTTAAAGTTTCACTGTCTTCGTCATTTAAAAATTGAAAATAATTTTTTTTCGATATTCGAATTGCATCTCCTACTTGATTTATATTAAACGTTTACCAATTTTTGAGAAGAGTGGGGACTGTTTTGCCTCTAAAGATTCTGTTAATCTGTTACTGTAAGGGAAATTGATTTGCCTTAAAATAGTCTTAATTTAGCTTTGGTTAAGAAATATCGTTGTGATTTTTCTTGTGAATTTGTGATTTATTAATCTCTTTTGTGCAAAAATAGCGCAGCATGAATTGTGAAGTATTTAAAAGTATGCTCAATGGGTATTTAAATATTTGAAACCGTAATTTTTTGAATATTTTTTCATTACAGAAGGTAAACAGATGCTTTCGATCGCAATTCATGTGGTGTTTGGAGCAGAGGCATCACAAATCTCTTTTCTATATTTTCTGCACTTTTGCCAAAAATCTGGAGGCTGCATACAAATTATTGATACGGAACAAAAAGGCTATGCGCAAGAATGGAAAGTTAAGGTTTGAAAGCTTTTTCATATTTCAAATTTATTCATTGCCTGAATGAAAATAGTGTGTTTATTTTTAAAATCTTAGACTTATCAAGTTTTATATTTGAAAAATATTTTCAATATTCGAAATACGTTATTAACACGAACACGAAACTCTGAGTGTTTGTGCCGGGGACAGAGGGGGGAGGGGAGGGGCTGATTGATGTAATATCTCTACAAACCCTTACTGAAAAATATTCCTAAAGCAAAGAAGGATTTCTTTTCAGAGGAACATAAGTATTATATTCAAATGTAGTTGAATCGAAGCGAAGTTTAAGTATGTCTTTTTGACCACAAGGCTTACCACAAAAAGCAAGAATCAAAATTTTGTTCTTAAAACTGATGCAAAAGGAGGACTGACTCGTGATTTTTTAATTTGAAACATACACTTACTGATTTTTCGTGGATAAAAGTTATAAATATATCATGATTAATCTCACTTGTAGCTAAAAAGGAAAATTTGGACACCAAAATGAAAATATGGTTGCCATAAAACAAATGCCAAATTAAAATTTTTAGATATATACTTAATATAAATCTTGAAAATTCAAGTTTTAGAATAGTTTTTGGAATACACGTTTAACTTATTCAAAACTAGTCTTTCCGGTAAAAATTTGGGTAATGATATATGTTTGAAAATGGCTATGAAGAAAGCGAGCATTTAAGAAATATATTTAACCTTTTTGTCTGTCTCTCTGTCTCTCTGATGTAACGTCAAAATAAAAATCGAAAAATCTAAGCTAGGGAGCATAAACAACCAGTTTTGGATCGAGATAGGCCGGTCAGAAATCCGAACACATGGCTGTAAATGGACATCTTTATTTGAAATAGCTTTTCATCTTTACGGAGTATTAATGCATAAAATTTACAAGCAACATTAATTTCTAGGGAGGAACATTCAGAATAGTTGAATTTTTAGCCGACGTCATTGGACACGAAAACATAAAGCTCTCTTCACCGGTTGACTGCATATCTCAGGTAAAGAATTTTGTATTTATGTATTTAGTGAGCAATGAAAATAGATAATTCATTCATTCTTTTAAGAAAATTTAAACGCAATATACAAACACTAGATTGATAAAGGTTGATTTTATCATGGCATTGTTTTACGCAGAAATTTCTCTAGGGACATGATCGCAATCATTGGAGAGCGAGGAACATTCCCATAAGGTGTTCTAGACTGAAATAATTAACAATAGTGTTAAGGAAGAGAGCCCAAGGGAAAAGAAAAGTGTGGTATTTAAACCCATTCAAAAGATATTCCTTAGTAGAAAGAGCGTCGAAATATTATAAAGCATTGTAGAATAATGTAATACTTGGCGGATTGCGAGTTGAATTTAAAGACTCATTGCTAACAATGGACCTTTACGAGCGTGGCGATGGTCCAAACAATGGCAGTAAACTTCTACGGATTAACCAAAATTGATTTCAGACAGTCTAAAAATGAATTATGGGATGCTTGCGTAGCGAAATGGCTCATTGTTAGCAATGAGTCTTTAATTTCTGCTGTTAAGAAAAATTCAACATGCCGAATATTAAACATTGTAGATATGTAGATATGTAGATATGTAGATATATAGATATGTAGATATTGAATCATTCTATCCCTGCGCATAGATATAGGGGCATTGGAAAACAGGGCCTAAAGCTAGGTATTTTTAACAATTTATCTACTATTATATTGCCTGTTGTTATTATAAGAAAAAACCATGATGTTTTGCAGGACGATTCATCTGTTACTGTCCGTCTTTTATCTGGCGATGAATTTGTTGGTGCAAGAGCGATCATTGCAATCCCACCCATCTACAAAGGTGATTCATATCTTAATTAACATAACCGTGCTCGTTCTGGCTTTCTGTGTTTTGGAGAGAATTTCATTTTATTCTTTAGTGTTCTCATTTTTCATAGCACCATAAAGCCATTTTTTCTTAGATATCTTTTCATTTCACTAAAATATTTCTGTTTTCAGTATTTTATAATGTGGAAAAGTGTCTTCACATATTGGCAAGGGTGACAAAATTCGATATATCGTTTGTTGGAGATAGAATTGTCCCAGGTTTTGCATGATCGATAATCTAAGAATGCAACAGATACAAAGAATCATGTTTATTCAGTTTTGTAGCTCATGTCCCTGTTTAGTTACCTGATTCCTTGAGGTACAATTTCAGTTGTTAGGACAACATTTCACACAAACGTAGGCCTTACAAAAGCTTCTGCCTCAAACAGATTTTCATTTTGGATCATAAAACCGGAAAGAGCAACATAGAACACTTCTAAATATGTGAAACCAGCTGAATGTGTTAGATGTTGGTTCAGATATTGTCATATAAGTACTGGCTCTTTCCCCATCAAATCATTGTAATTTGGTCTCTGTTCATCGAATCATTGTAACTTTATGAAACAAGCAAAATAATAATAATAATAATAATAATGATATAATAATAATAATAATAATAATAATGGTACAATCGAGCATATCCACTACAAGCGTGGCTCTTCAACTTTAAAATTAAAAGCAAAGTCAAATTACAGGTTCAAAAGTTAACAACAGTTGCATAATTATAAAAAAAAGAAATAATGTTTTTTAGTCCAATTTGTTGCTTGCTTTGTCAAATAAATGCTTCTTTAAGTTAAAACAGAATGTCGTGAATCTAGACTGAGATTTTATTGATCCAGGTAAGGCATTAAAGCACTTTGCAGCGGCATCTTCAAAAGTATCTGCTATAAGCAAAAACATCGATTATCCGTTAACAACCTTAAAATATTCCATTCACCATATCACATCCAACTGTGAACATATTCAACTGATTTTGCAGCTGTTCTTTAAGCCTATGTCATCAGAAAATTCTAGTAAATATATTTTTTATGATGTATCATTTTTAAAAAATATATATTTTCTTTAGGATTTCCTCTAAGTTTTCATTATTTTTTTTCCAGCCAAGATCCACTACTCGCCACCATTGCCAGATTCCCACAGATTACTTTACGAGAGAATGCCAGTCGGCCATTTGACGAAAGCGATTGTGACGTACCCCAAGAGATTCTGGAAGGAGCAAGGGCTGTCAGGGGAAGCAGCGCACTGGCCTTTCTACAATGGAGCTGAAGGATATCCTGTTTGCTTGACTTTCGATGCGACATCTTGTAATGGCTCTCCTGCTCTGGTTTTGTTTATTGGTGGAAAACGTGCTCTTGACTTGGGCAAAATGAGGGTAGGTCTTCTGAATGTAATCAAGAAAGACTATTGAGAATATATTTTTTTGAAAAGCTGATCGTTATTCAAAAGGCTGATGTTGACCAAAGGTGGACTATTCTTTACTCAGGAACTGACCCGAACAAACCAACAGTGACTTGTCTTAATTCTCCATTTTTAAATAAGCCAGTGTTCTCCTTCTACATCTAAATATTTTTAAAATACCAAAAAAGAGAGGCATTTTTCTGGTATACGCGAATTAAAGCCTCCTTTCCTGACATCAGCAAAGTGCAAAACTCTCACAAAACTGCTAAAGTCTTTTAAAATTAAATCAAAGAGCATATTTAGCAAAAATACCTCAGCTGTAAATTCAGTTGTTATAAGTTAAGATTTTTTACTTTGTTTGATGTTATCGCTTGTTTTGACCTTTTTATCGGTTTGTTTTATTTGCTCTTAAGTTTTTTGGATCATTATCAGTAAGTCCCTCACCCTATTCAAAATGTTATCTTCTTGCCATGCTTAAAAATAGTCAATTTGGTGGCAACGAGGAAATATTATTAAAAACAGCGGTTTATTTTATGAGACTTTTAGATATTTATGTTAAATAGGTTTATAGGCTAAAAGTGTTTCATATCAACCGTTCTGATGCTATTAGGGGAGTAGTTGATTGGCAAGGTCAACGAAAGACGTGCATTCTTTCAAAGTTCCGTTCAAGGAAGAGCCTTCTGTTCTCAAACACATAGTTTCAATTATTGAAACTTCTCACATGGAATTTTCAAGATAGCAAGACGAAGAATCGAACCAGTTGCTTAATATGACATATATCAACAGATATCAGCTTATGTCATTGTTCGAAGGAAATAGTGTAACAGTTGTCCAACATAGAATTTAATTAGAATGGGCCGCTTGTTAAAAGAACCAACTTCTACTTCAATCCAAAGATTCCTATATCATATCCAGGCCAGTATTTACAATTCATATGTCCCTCTGTTGTTCTTTTCGGACTGGGGGTGTGAACTGGACAACAAAACTACTGCCAACGATTGAAGCCTTTTAAAACTACCTAATGAATTTTATGACAAATCCTAGACGCATCGACCTAGCCCCAACCAATCCAGTCATTAAAGACAAAGTCATAAAGCTCTTCGAACATATCAAGTGATCTGAACCCTGGTCTCGAAACTTTTTCTCGAAACAAAAGAAAAGGAAGGTAAAAGAAATAGTAGTATGCAACCAAAACAAAGTGAGATAACACCTTCACTTCGTGTAAATTGGACCCACTGAGCTCATGAATCGCGATCTATGGAAAGTGGCGTCACATGCTTTAGGCTAAGATATTGTAACATAATGATAAGACTGTTATAACCATCTCACTTAATCTCCTAGAAATTGACGAATTCCCCTTCCTTTGTCAGTTGAAAATGGCCCGAGAGATAGAATATATATAATTGTAATTTGCAATACTCTGTGAAAATTTTGATTACTAGTCTAAAGTATTATTTCTTTTTCTATATCATTCTTTTTTATTTTAGTATTGTGACCAGCGCCAAAATATCATTAATTCACTGAAACTTTTGTTTGGAAGCTCAGCCGACAATCCCATAGATGTCAAAATTAAGGTTTGTTGTTTGTGCTCCTACTTCATCTTGTATTAAGGGATGCTAAAAGATTTTTAACTTATTCTGGTACAGATATACCAGGGTCATAGCTATTGTAGTACCTGTGGAGGGTAGGAGGGTTTTCGTGCTCCCCCTTCCCGAAAAATTATAAAAAATTTTTGTTTGAGAAATCCTTTCTGTTCCTATTGCTGCCAAACAATGGTGCCCAAAACAATTCTTTCGTTCCTGCGTTACTGCCTAAACTAATTCTTTAACATTGCAAAGTATAGAAACATTGGGATAAAAAAGATGGCACCAAAACAAGTTTGGCTGCACGGTGAAATCGTCAACAAAAATACAAGTCCTAGGAAAACCAATATATTTCCCTCCATTCGGACACAGAATTTAGGTGAACTCTTTAGAAATATAAAATACAATACTTACAAGACATTACATTTATCGGCTTATAGATATATAGGCCCATCCACAACAAAACCGTCGGAAGGGGTTTTATTACTGTTAGTTTTCTTGCTTGCCAGTTTTTACCAGAATTAAACGACAACACGAAGCGTAGTGCATAACTTAGTTGCCTGCTTAGTTGGGACATGATTGTCACGCATGTCTCTGCTACTCCTCGTTTTCTAGTTACCCCTCGTGACCTAGCTAGCTACTCCTCGTGTCCTAGCTACTCCTCGTGTCTCGCTGACCCGATGGCATGGTGTGGAGTAATGTGTAGTAACTCTTATTAACCTGGAGTTTGCATTTTTGACGTGTGAAAATCCTCAATTTTTGCATCCTAATTTCAGGAGTGGTCGAAAGAGCCCTGGAACGGTGGCTGTCCAGTTTCTATTATGGCCCCCGGAGCACTAACAAATTATGGCTGTAGTGCTTTGAAAGAACCATTCTATAGGTAACGTTTTTCGTGTATGTTATCAGTTTGAAATTCCTCGTCAATTTGATCTTTAGAATCATTTCGATGACAGCCATCCTATTTTGATTCAGTTAACTGAAAAACACGTTCTACCTAAGAATGCTTTTGTAGAGGCATTGTCTTTATAACATTATAAACGACATCAATTTTTTAGGCCATAGCAATGGAAGGTGGCAATGCAGCTTTAAGGCAGCTTGAATTAGATCATCAAATAACCATTAACGCAGTTTGTCGTCTGTTGTTTTCTATAAAAGCGAATTCTCCTGTGTTTTGTCTTTTCTGCAACATTTTAAAGTAAATTTCATTCACGAATTTGGAGGTAAATATGTTTTTTGACTTCTTGTAGATTACATTGGGCCGGAACTGAAGCAGCAGATTGCTGGGTAGGTTATATTGACGGCGCGGTGCAGAGTGGGATACGAGCTGCGAACGAGGTTCTATGTCAGGTTCTGCCTCAGTTCAGTGACAGCACCGATGTTTCTTCATATGAAAAAGTATTTGAGCAGCAGAAAACGACCTTTGCTAGAGACAGAGAAAGCAAGAAAATGTGGAACAAACTGTTGCTGCTTTCTGGCACCATTTTGCTTGTTACTGCCCTGATCACAAATCGACACAAGTTACCTTGGAAGTAGAATGTTAAAGAGGGGGAGGGAAAAATTAAAATTGATTTTGCGATACCTTAAATGAAATACATAATGCTGTCTTTTTAATCAGAGATATGTGAGCATTAAACGCCTTTATCAACTTAGATTTTGCTTCTCTTCCCGTTCACTGTCGACTTCCATCCACGTTTCCCATTTTTATACCCTGGTACTCCACGCTAAAGCAAATTACAAAACTAGGATATTCCATAGCAGTGTTGATAAAATGAAATATTGCAATTCCTAATCGGTTTTGAAATATAGTTTTATATTGACAGCTATTTATGCTGTTGCATGTGGTATCTGAAGATATCTGGCCTTTTGCTCTTTTCGTTGTACCATTCAAAAGCCACAAGCGTCTGTGACAATGAATGCAAATGACAGAATTCGCACCCATTCACTCTTGTAACTACTCACTTTGTCGATTTATGTCATTAGCTTTTCTCGTGTCATGGAAGGAAGTACCTCTTATTTTTCGGGAATTCTCAGACTTTTTGCCGCTTAATTAAACGTTATATTTTATTATATTTATGTTAAGCAGCCACGTCCTTTCCTAGAATTAGCCGCTGTTATTGTCTCTTTACGTTCACAAGTGACACACGAAATTGATCACGATGATGCAATTATGTTTCTAAAGTTTCAAAGTCCATTTATTCATTTTGCAGCACTGGTTAATTTCTTTATCTTTACCTTGATTTTGTTTTGAAAGATGAAGATTCAATTTTTTATTAATTTTTTCTGCCTCCAATCTTCATAAAATTGTCACTTATTTTTATTGTCTTTGTAGACATGCAATCGCCTTTCTGTCATTCAAAATTAATTTGATAGCAAATATTTTTAATCTGTAAATTGATTTGTAGTATTTTCGATTAAAATACAGCAGAGGTGCTCTTGGTGTGTGAATTTCATGCTTTGTAAGATTTTAATATATATAACGAACAACAGAGAATGATTTTTGTCTGTTTGATTAGCGGATTATTATCAAAATTGAGTTTCATGTTGTTGTTACGTTAAGAAAGTTGTGGAAAGTTATTTCTAAGTGAAATCGAGATCTGTAATCTTATGAAATCAAAAATTGGATTATTATGCTTCAAAGTTTATCGATGCAATTCAATTTGTTTTTTTGCTCCAGTTATCTTTGATATATGCTCTAACTCCTAATAGCAGTAAGACTGTTCGTGTTAACAACTGCGATCTATGACTACAAATTTGACTTTAGATCTGGTTGAAATTAATAAACAAATTGTCAATTTGAATGGGCACCGAATTCGAGGCTATATTGCTCGTAGGTGTGCCATAGGAGAACCTTTAATCGAGACATTCGAGAACAGTCGTGTCTGAAACTTTCAAAATTACAGTCTACTCTCGATAAGTGGAACCTCCACGGGACCGAAAAAGATGGTCCCACTTGTCGAATGTTCTACTTGTCCGAATTGCTCGATAAGTGGAACCTCCATGAAACCGAAAAAAAAGTTCCACTTATCGAACTTCTTTCTTGTCTGATTTCTCTGGAGAACGGGGCATTTACGAATAATGAAAAACGGGGGGAAACGAACAAAAGAAACGGCTTTATAAGTGTCGATGTTCAATATGATGAATATATTTTTAAAGCAATGTAGTTATGCAAAAAATCTTTTATACACGTTTGTTTTAGAGCTTGTGAAAATCCCTTTTCAATTAATCTGGAAAGTTTCATGGTACAGCGTTGAAGCTTATCTGACTCAATAAATAGTACTAAAATCCAATAGGGTTTCAATGCTTGGTTTTTTACTTCCTCCAAGCCTGAGACTCAAACACTTACTCCGTCAAAATTGTTAGAAAAGCGATCAATCAAGGAGATGGAAAAGGAATGAAGGTGCCTTGCAAGTTATATTTTGCGGCCGAGGATAGTTTTATAAACATTTTGAAAAAACAACTTCCAAAGGCTCTATGAATATACAATAAATATATATATGTGGTATAAATAAATATATATACGTGGTATAAATATATTTAGTTGCCTGAAATAGTTTTGAAACTGACATTTAATCGTTCTTTCAATCGACTCACCCATCCACCAGAAGCATGAAAGTCTTAAAGTTCTAATGATTTTGCCAACTCTAAAGCTTTTTCTTTAAATATACTACAGCTGATGGGAGTATTATTGTATCTTGCAGTTTTCAGCCATTTATAAACGGCAGAGTCCAACTCCTCGTATGTCTTCATTCTTTTTCTCTTTTTAGAAGCATTGTTTCCTTCAACTGCTTCGTTTCCTTCAACAAAGTGCGAGGATGACTCAGTTGTTAGAGGCGCTGACTACAGACCTAAAGTCCGTGGTTCGAGTCCCTGATATGACCAAACTTTCATACAGAGTGAGGAGAATCGCCAGCTCTCTGTAATTCCAGGCGTAGGAATCACGGGGTGTGGTCACATCAAGAGGAAGGACCAGTACACTGCTTGATAAACATAAGCTTCTCAGTGTCCTAAAAACCACCTTCGGATGCTAGGTAGCAACAAATACAAATACAAATACAAGCTTCCAATATTTCAGCTTTCTTTTTTACCCAATGTGAAACTGTATTTTTAGCAACACCATATTTCTTTGCTGTAGCTATACAACTTTGGCCTGCATCAATTTCTTTTAAAGCCTTTTATTTGTTGACGTTAGTTTAACAGGCAAGCCCTCGTTCCGAAGACCGCACAGCTGCCATTTTTTATATCTGACTGCTGATATATATTCTTTTGTTTTCTGATATACTTAATGGCAATCGAATTTTGCAAGAATATTCATATAAAGAATGTATTGATTAAAATGATTCGAACGTACCATTCCATTTATGTGAACAACAATCGCTCATGGGACCAAAAAATGGCTCCACTAAACGAAAGTTCCACTTATCCGGGGTTCCACTTATCGAGAGCAGACTGTATATCTTTCGACGTTGAGCTGAAAGCACTTGTGACTCTCCTTATTGCTTGCTTGCTGACTTCTTTCCATTTTTTATCGTTCGTCAAACTATTAATCTTAAATTCATATCTAATATATACAGTCCTCTAGAACTTAACTCTTTGCGAATCATTCCGTGGTAGTTCCTATCCTAAAGCATTTATGACATATATCTTAACGTTTAAGCTTTCTTAAAGTCAATATAATACTTTACAATATAATAATACATACTTTAAAGATAAAAATTTTGTTTTACAAATGCTAACATGATCAAATTTGTAAAAATGGCGAGGCAAATCCCCGTAAGTCAAATAGAAGGTTTCAAGGGAAAGTGGGCATAACTAATTTTACAAAGTACAGTTTTTGCAAAGCTGATAATCTTAGTAAATGCCAAAATTTTGGCTTTATGAAAGAAATGCGCTCGATTCAAAGTTAAAATTTTCTGTTGGATGATCATTTATGAACTTGGCAGAGGCTTTTTGCAAGGGTTTTTCATGAAAAACCTAAATTCGTACCCAAGCTTCGATGGCCGACGAGGGGCAAATAACTCCAAGAAAACTCGTACACCTTTTGTAAAAATCCTATTGCTTTACAGGAAAATCCCTGGAAATCCTTTTGTTTTGGGGAAAATATCGTACGCTATTTGCAAGAGTGAATCGCCCCTCGGCTTAGAAAGCCGTAGCCCAGCTTCGAAAGCCTTAGCCCAGCTTCGATAGCCGTAGCCCGGCTTTGATAGCCGTAGCCCAGCTTCGATAGCCTTTGCCCAGTTTAGAAAGCAGTAACCAAGCTTCGAAAGCCGTAACCAAGCTTAGAAAGTAGTAGCCCAGCTTAGAAAACAGTAGCCCAGCTTAGAAAGCAGTAGCCCAGCTTAGAAGGCGGTAGCCCAGTTTCAAAGGCAGTAGCCCAGCTTTGATAGCCGTAGCCCAGCCTCGATAGCCGTAGCCCAGCTTCGATAGCCTTTGCCCAGTTTAGAAAGCAGTAACCAAGCTTCGAAAGCAGTAGCCCAGCTTCGAAAGCCTTAGCCCAGCTTCAATAGCCGTAGCCCAGTTTTTTTGACTAGAAATTGTGCACTTTCAAACGTGGAACAAACGTCGAACAGGCCTGAATCAAACGTCGTGACTTACATGTGTCAATTATAGTTAGCGAATTAAGTGCGTGTAAAACGACTTTAAGCTATCTGCAAATTTGCAAGTGTTGAAAGAACCTAGATTGCTGTGGTTGTAACAATCGTGTTGAGGTCAAACAAGATCTATGTTCATTATGTTAAATTTCAACACATTCTCCAACAGAACACAATTAAATATCTTTAAACAAGGAAAATCAGTTAAATATTTTAATGATTGTGCAAGATTTGGACAATGGAAGATCTGAAACTTGGTAACAGATTACTGTTGTTTTTGTTTTATCTATAAATTTTTGAGCAGAGACCTAATACGGTGGTTTCTTGGCTAAAGTGCCTGTGCTTTTATCTTCGACAATTGCAGACCTGTCAACCTTAAATTTTCAAAACCTGGAGATTTTAGATTTTTCCTGAAGGAAAACAGGGAGATTTGGTCAAAAACAGGGAGATCACAGTATTTTGTTAAGGGAATAAATATACCTGATAAAATGTTGTGCTCGGCAAACAGTTTATGATAAAAGTGATCATGAGAAGTATCTTTATAATAACTTTTAATGTCTTTTGTTAATCAGTAAGCACTAGCAAAAAATTGTTGTCATGTGGAAAGTCAATGTGACCATTATATCTTAATTATATCCATTATACCTCTGTAAAAAAGAAAACATACACAATGGACCTGTTTTTGAAGCATAAGATGCGCAATTCATTCAAAATATTCGGTGAAGAATCTTCCTAGACATTCTGCTAGACATCTTTTAAACCGGGAGAAAAGTTTTAAAAACCGGGAGACCGGGAGAAAGCAGTCAAAACCGGGAGTCTCCCGGCTGAACCAGGAGGGGTGACAGGTCTGCAATTGTCAACGCATTTAGATGATTTCCCTCATAAAGGGGCATTTTATGATTCTTTTCCAATTGATGAAATCTGAATTCAACAATTCTAAAGTTGATTTCGTGACGTCATCACATTAGAAATCTACAAAAGGATAGAAGAGAAAATCTAATGATCGAGTACTTTATATAACTGCCTGCAAGTTGATTTTGTAATATAAAGCCAAGCATCATTATACTAGGTGCAACTTGGGTTATTGTTTTGAATCTCGCGAGCCAAAAGATTTGCAATTTATAGATTGCATTAAATAAGCTTAGCATCTTTGTGTAGTGATTAATTTTCTATTTCTCCATAATTATTTTCTTGCTGTAAGTTTAAAGGTTAAATTGGTGCGAGCCGCTCGGTGCCAAAAGGGACAGAAGACGAAAACAGGTACAAAGCTACCAAACCGAGAAAATAGCCTTACTTCCAAAAGTTTGAATAAACCTTTTAGAAAGAGAAACATATCGCTCATTTCCTTTGCTTTCCATTTCATCTTTATATAAACACACAGTTTGAGATTCAGCGTCGCTTGCCTATAGAAAATATCTTCTCTTTGTCAAATATCTGATAGTTTAAAACACCAGTCAGACACAGGGGCGGTTCTTCGTAAAACTTCAGGAGGGCCAACAGTTTAAAATTTGCCGACTGTTACATAGTAAATGGTGTTGCTCATGGTAAATGGCATGGCTCAAATTAGTTTTGAAATATTCTCAAAAGCTGATGTGATAGCTTTCATGGTTCAGCAGAAGCTAAACCTTCCTCAAATTTGATGCAAACTTAGAATAATGAGTTAACTCAAAATGAACTTTCTTTGAGAATTTTGAAATCGTTCTGATACATTAGATTTAAAATTTTCAAAACTGGTTTGTCAGAACCTCTTTTAAAGAGACTTTAGACATTCAATCTTTGTGGAATCTTCCTTTCTTCTGGATAAAAATATAAAGAGAAATGTGTCATGCAAAAGTTATACCCAACTGATTTATATCTTTACGTGGAAAATCTAACGACTTATTTTACATAAACTTTCGTCATTTCATCTTTTACAGAACCTTCTTCCCTTCTAGATAAAGACATCTTTTGCAAGATTTAATGCCATTCAATCGTTTGCAGAATCTTTTTCCCTTCCAGATATGAATATCTTCCGTCATGCAAAATTGAAAAGACCTGATGTATGGCTTTACATGAATCTCTAA